AGCCCCCTCGACTTTGAAAACGAAATATTTTCAAACACGAAGTGACCAAGGTGAAGATGGCCTGCCTGGGATCTTCACTCGACTTACTCAAGATACTGGACAAAGTGAAATGTTCCCTACCTTCAACACGTGCTCACTCTGCATGATTAGTGCAATAAAACTCCCTTCCTTGTGCTTATTGAGATATTCTGCTGTTTTGTGGAAGGTATGAATTTGCTTTAGAATGCTGTGCCCACCTTTCCATGCAAGCTGATTCCTTCCTCCTCAATCTTTAAATGTGGGAGACATACTGTACCTGTGAACACTACACATTCTAAGCTCCCTACCACCACCACCACCACCACCACCACCCAAAAACTCTCAATAAATGTAATGATGTTGCAAAACAACACTTGGCCTATTAGAAGGGAGACTTTCTACATGTAAACCAGGAGCAGTGCATAGAGGTATGGGTTCAAGGGGACTGTTTTACAACTTCCCTGTGCTAACACTAAAGGTCATTGGATATCTGGTTAAAAATTCTCCCAGAAAGTTGGTTTTCTTTGCCTGAAGAAAGGGCTCTGAATCTGTAAGATGTTGTTCTCATTTTCAGAGATGTTTCCAAATTGCAATCAGGAAATCTTTCTTAATAGATAGTCAGATTATTACTGTGTTGGGTGTGACATCCCCTTAATGTAAGTAATTTGCTCTGTGGTAAGATATGCTAATCATTACCACTTGGTGGATGTTGTTAAAAACTTGTGAAAGATATGTATGGAAAAAGCATACACCCCGAAACAGAAGGGAGTCATTACAGTCATTTACAACCTTCCCAGCACTAATTAGTGTCCAACTCTAAATGGACTAAGGTCAATCCCTTAGTATAATATTAAAGGCTTATTAGTATCAACACTTTTCTTTTTCCCTTAGCTTAATGACTTACTTAGAATGTATCCTTCGTTTATTTTAAATTATCTGTACTATATAACATCTAAATAAAACACTATTTTTCCTGAAAAAATAGACCACTTTCTAGCCCTCTCCTGTCAGCCCTTCAGTATCCATTCCAATGCATTGAACACATTTCCTTTACCTCCACATGCTTCTTCCAAAGGGAAGGAGAACAGTGGTTTGTCTTGCAGCTGAGTTAGAAGAAACTGAATCAGGTCATGCATCATATTTGGTGATGAGACTTGTGGAACATGCCAGTCTGTCCCCATTGCTGCTTAACATTCACGGACAAGCAACCAGAAGCCCCCGAAGGTACTTAACACTGCCTGCCAGGCTTGTCGCCGCAGTGGTACTCGGCTGTAGTTCAGTCATCCATCCCTGTGGTAGCAGGTAAATTATCTCCAGATCTTGCTATCTGTATATTCTTGGTAGACTTGTTTGTCACATCTACTTTCTTTTGGGTTTTCATCCCTAGCTTATTTTGTGGCTTTTTTTTTTTAAGTGGATTGTATTGTAAAATTCTGTGATTCCTGGTGGCCAGTATCCTGGATTTCCTAGTCTGTTTTAGATCTTGCCTCTTTTTTCTCTTCCCATGAAAGGAACAACATTGTATTAACTTATGTCTCTTGTTAAATGAGGTTAATGTCTTTGTGTTTTATCCAAAACTATATTGAAAAATATAAATATTATATTGTTTAATGGAAATGAAGGAATGCAATAAAGAGTACATATACTTGAAAACATTCTGTAGACCAATATTTTGTATAAAACAGCATATGTAACTGATATGAATGTATGAAGGAGGGCTCAGAAATTCCCCTCCTAGTTTTGTTGTAAGGAGTAAGGAGATGGATGATTTTTAGTGTAAGGAGATGGATGATTTTTATTTTAAAATCTTTGATTTTAATTATTTAGAAAATATAGTTATGGGAGGAGTTATAGTTATAGAGCTTTGCTTAGCATGCAGAATGTCCTGGGTTTAATCTCCAGTACCTCCATTAATTAAGTAACTAAATTAATTAATTAAAATTATCTCCCCCTCCAAAAAAAGAAAATATTAATTTAATTAATTTAAAAGAAAAACAGATCAGTAGCATATTTTATAAAGTTAATGTACAACAGAAATCTTTATACTTATTTTATTTACTTCACCTTATTAAAAAACTCAAGTGTACCAGAGCCACAAATGGGTTAGCAATAAACCAGAAAGGAAAATTGTTTCTCAAGTAGAATTATTCCTTCCTATGATGCACACAAACCAAGGGACTCCAACACTCTCAGTGAGGTTTCTTCCCCATTTTGCATGTTTCTGAGCTATTCGATCTTTTAGGCTAAAACCTGATCCTTAGAGTTGGCTTAGGTTAGGATTAAAGGCTACCTAGAAAATCAGCAAGGCTCTGTGGAGAGAGGTCAAGTTTAGAGCTCCTCTGACAGCAGGGTCCATTGGTTCCCCAGATGTCCACACCTTCCTGGCAGGACCCTTAGGTTACCCTGGTCCCTGCATAGCCTAGAGAAGGTGGAGTCTTTTTGTTTGTTTTTGTTTAGGGGGAGAGAGGTAATTAGGTTTATTTATCTATTTTTGGAGGAGGTACTGGGGATTGAACACAGGACCTTGTGGGTCCTAAGCATGAGCTCTACCACTGAGCTACACCCTCCCCAAAAGAAGGTAGTGTCTTGAAGCTATCCCACAGCTCTTCAACGCCCGTGCTGGGCAGAGAGTGTTCAAGATTACAACAGGGCCTGGTGATAAAGCAAGGGAGACAGTCCACTAGCCGCTGCCTTAGATTTCTTCTATGGATGAACTGTTAACAGGCTATTTTTTGTCAGAATATGTAATTAAAATCTAAAAAAAAGTTATTTTATCCTTTCTAAATTTGTATAACTTCACCAAAACACTTTTTTTTTTTTTAGTATGACAGAAAAACTGGATAATAGTGGTTAAACCTGAAATATGTTTTGCTCTAAGGCTGTCTTTTCATATCCTAAAAATTACAGTGAACAGCCTAGCCTCCCTTTTAAGTTTCAGCAACAAGTCATGAAGTAGATTCAAGTGTGTATAGTAATCAAATCCTGGTAAACAGACTGTTGAAGCACTGAGTCAGCTATAAACAACCAGCCTGGCCCAAACACAGAAGCTAAAGCAAGATTTCATTTTCCTTGCCTGGCAACTTGATCCATAAGCCTCTTCAAAGAGGTGATGGGGAAAGGTGTGTATGACAGTTCAAAAAAGCATGTAAATTTCAGAAGTTATTGCAAAATGATCCAAAGTTTCTCATCGGCTGGCAAGCAGTGCCGAGACTGGGTCCTGGAGCTGGGCCCACAGAGGGCGTGTGCTGAGCAGACATGGTGACATTAAGATGCAGGAGATGGCGCCTGTGATCAGCAGGAATCCCAAGGAGTGGAGACAATTTGCAAGGAGGACTCAGGTTTGAAATTTTCCCAGCGTACAGTCTCCACAGAGCTGACTCTGTCACACCATGTTGGGTGTATGTGATTAATGGTAAGATAATTTTTTGCCTCCTAGAAAGTTCTCTGTTGAGCTAGGAGAACCGATGACACTATAGCAGCCATGATTTTGCTGAAATAACTTCACCTGTGTGTGAGTGTGTGGGTCAGCTGTGCACATCAGCACACGAGCCCACCCCCAGACCCGGCACAGACACACCTAGATACGCTCGCCGCCACCACCATCGTTCCCCTCACTTTGCTTCTTCCCTTCGCCTCTATTTGTACCTTATCCTTGAACTCCCTCTCACACTTTCCTTCCCTTCTTTCTTCATAAAATAGTACTGCTTTGAAAGATATCTTCTCATATTGTCTCTTTTCTTTTGGATTTTTCTTTTGATCTTTTTAGATGTTTATTAGTATTTATGCTTATGAAGAAACTAAATGTTTAAGCA